AAGACGTAGTCCTACGTCAAAAACTAATCGTGGTTGTATCTCTTTTTCGTTTGCATGTAACACTATTTGATATTATTAACCGCACCGAGCGTTCATGCCGGGTGGTGAGCGAACTTGAAGAAGAAGAAGAAGAAGATGACTATACAGGATAAGTGGTACCATGACCCCCTTCTCGGAACGAGTGTATTGTTAATGGACCTGGTCTACGATTCAAAGTTGGATTCTGTGATGATAAGTATCACATAAAAGGTAAAAATAGGTAGGCATCATATTTATAGAAATGTAAGTATTATTGACAATAATCATAACTAGATGATATGCAAATTTATACTAGGTACCTGGATCAACGTTATTTAAACATGCGCATTCAATAGCAACGGCATCTAATTCTGCATTTTAAACCTACCCAACCCTTTTCCTTTCTACAATCCCTGAGCAGCTGGTTCATCATAAGTGTACCTCGCAGAACTTTTTTAACACCCATCGGTAAAGATGCTGTGTTGCTCACTCCTCTCCCCTTCCCTGGTGTATTATGGATGGTGTGAATTTTCACATCGGTGACATGGTCCCTGACCCCCTTGTACATCATAAAATGAAATGAAAATGAAAACTGCAATCACTCTCTCATACTGGAAATGTGCCACGAGCAAATTGGCACAACGACGCCTTATACGCTCTCTGACCCAAGAGCAAATCCATAAAGGACCATATTTCAAAAAGAAAGTCGCTATTGAGACGAAAACACTGTTTTGTTTGTTAGGCGAATTTTTAGCTAATCACTAGGCTAGGCCACAGAAGGAAAACGGCGTCTGATGATGCACATTTGCAATAATTTTTCTCTTTAAAAAAACAAAATGTTTATCATTGTTTATATTTATGCAGTACTCATTTTGAATCCATAAACAATGGAACTTAAATTACCCTCCCCTTTGCTGGAGGGATCAACGACGCTTAAATGATTTGATTGATGCCTTTTAACTATTGCTTTGTAAACCAATATGTTACTTTCTAATTTATAAATAAGATTTAATCACTTAAGTTATTAATTTAGCTATTGATTTATTACCTGTTTTTTGCTTTGTTTTGTTATATATCAGTGTTATCTCTATTTGGATAAGTTAATTATAATTAAAATAAGGTAATATGTTTTGATTGATTTCATATAATAACGAACATTTACAAGCTTACATATTTAACCATTTCTATTACATAATCAATAACCATTTTCTAGTTAGGTACCATGCATGAATGACGTAGCATTCTAAAGAAAGGGAGGTGGAGTTTTTAGAATTTGTGACGGACAAAGAAGGGAGGGGGGTTAAATCTAGTCAAAAATGTGCTGCGTCAATTTTGCATGGTTTGTCCCTTAGTAGGCAATCTATATCAGTCATTAAAGCGTACCTCTTAGAGTTAGAGTTGAAATACTAACACCAACTCTGATTGGAGGCGCCGGGAGGGTCCACTAAGGTTCTGCACTAACAATACTAATACTAACACAGAACCTGAAGCTAACGTCCAGCAGTTTCCAGTTTAATTTTTCTTCTATCTCCTCCTATACATACACATCTCACTCCTACTTTGATGCTATTGCTGTCGCAAACGCTCTCAATCTTTAGTCTATCTATGTTTATACTCTATTCATCTAAATTCTAGAAATTTATTTATTATATTTTAAATATTCGAATAACTAACCCAAAAACACTGAAGATAAACAAAGAAATGTATAACATTTTAAAATTATTTTCTTTAGAAATCATTAGGTAAATAGATCAGGACTCTAAATTATTCAAAATGGAAGTGATGAGATATAATGATGGAGCAATATTAGTAAGACTAATGGAAAGGGACGGACATTGTCAACTCTACGGCATGAACGGCCAATCTGAAGAACATTACAACTTAATGTGGGATCTGCGCAGAACCGTAGAAACCCACATAAGACAGCATCAAGAGAGATTGCGAGAAATATTGGAAACACAGAGGTACTGACGAAAATAAGGTATCTAGGAGCCTACATTACAAGCAGTTTAACTAGGAAAGAAACTACTAGAGAGAGAATAAGAAAAGCATACAGTGCTTTCTATAGTCTGACTTCGTTCCTAAGAGACCACAGCATAAGATGGGCAACAATAAAAAAAACTGTACCATACGCTAATCACTCCAATAGTAACGTACTCGATGGAAGTAGCGACTGTCCTCAAAAGCAATAGAAATTCGCTCCGCAGAATGGAAACCACCATGCTTACAGTGCTTAAGGTTCTAAGCTATGAAGCAAAACAGCATAACGATGTTCCTGGCAATAATGATGTACCATACATTGGCAGCCCAGAAGCAGTGTCACAAATTGACGATCATAATGAAAGAATGCAGTCACCTCAGCAGTCACAGCATATTGCAGTTAGGGAACTAGGGAATTACACCATCAACAACAAAATTAGAGTGGCACGGCTTAACTACTTTGGACATGCTGTAAGGAACACATCACAAGGAATACTAGGGAAAGCTCTCAATTATCGTGTATCAGGCAAAAAGAAACATGGACGACCTTGCTTCACCTGGAAAACAAGCATCAAACAGGACATCGAGAGAAGCAACAGCACTGTGAAGTATTGGATGGAAATTGCCAACAACCGACACGAATACAAAGCAGCAACAAAGAGATTGTTCAGTGAATTGATCGAATCAGAATATGAAGATTCAGAGGACGCATTTAGCTCAGAATACACTGAAAATGATCTACGACTATCAGACTTCGAAGGGTTCTCGGACAACGAAGAAGAGTCTTTTCACGGATTTGAAAATAACTAGATATTTGAAAATGTCATCGATGAATAGTTAAAAACTGCATACAATACAAGTTAATGTCTAAGTTAGAAATGAACAACGTAAAACTACATAATTCATATAAAATGTAAGTAAATCATCAATCGAATACGTAAGTAAATATACTTCAAATAAATAACATCAAATTGAGTCGCCAACTAATTCAGTTGAAACTAAACTGTTGACAATTGAAAGCATAGTCAACTTTAACATAATTTTGATAAAACATCCAGTTCACTTTAAAACAAACAAGTATGAAAGGAGATTGCTTAGAATAAAGATAAAAGTAATAAGCGCAATATTAAACGACATTAAATTTGAATCTGATACGGTAGGCCATATAACAGAGTCGATAGCCATTGCAAATCAACCATCTCTACCTGCTTATTTTCCTAACTTTCACTATTATTGCTGTTACTCTGACTATCCCCTATGTTCAACAGCTTTCCTTACTATCCGGTATCGTAAACAGGATTCATTTGACCCCTGTGGTTATTATTCTGTGATGCCAAATCTATACCTCTACCCTGGTGCAGTATGGACAGCGATTTTTCGCTGGTGACTTGGCCCTATGACCCCCTTCTGTGCTTGAAAATGAAAATGAAAATGAAATAAACAATGGAACGCCTAATTTAGCGTTTGATTAACGGTAACGGAAAAAGGGAAGTTGTCATCGTCAGTGCCGCAAGGCACACAAAAGGCTAGTCCACTTTATTCATAATTTTTCATTGAACAAACATTGTTCTCGTAATTTTTATTGTTAATTTGATTAACCAGCTGATTCCAATTTCAACTCTTTTCTTCGACCGTTTCTATACAAGCAAATGATTATTATTTTTTTTTGTTTTGTATAATGTATGTAATATTCATTCCAATACAATATTGCCGCTCGTTACGTTTTCTTTCAACACTTTTTGATTCACGTGTAAATGTGTGTGTGTGAGAGTGTGTACTGAAGCAGTACTCGAGCCAGTACCCGATAACTAGTTTTCCTTAGTAATTGATCTGCTGCACAAATTGGTTTCGAATACTCTTTGCCAATGTTTAAACAATTTCTGATTGCCAGCAGGCTAATACGCTGTGTTGTATAATGTCTGTAGAATCTAAACGCTAACAATTAATGGTACACAGTAAAAAAGTACAATTTTTTCCTCGCAAAATCTCCGAATTTTCGTTTTCTATAAAAGAAAGAAAAGCGACGAAACCGTCAATCCGCGGCCGTCGATTCCGAAATGTTTCGAAAATTAGGTACAAATACATTGTTCTAAATTGTTATATATTACTTTTCTGGCGTTCCGCTCACTTCTTATTCTGAGCAACAACAACTTAAAATTGGGAAAAATGTACAGGAAAAACGAGGGGAAATTTTTCACTTAACTCTAACCGAAGGAAACGTTTGCGAGACTTCACCCACAATTTCCTTTTCGCTTCACAATGTAAAGCCCGGCGATTAAGCCGCCGGGTCGTGAAGGAAAAGGAAAGAGGTAAATAAGGTACAACTGAACCAGAACAAAAAAAAAACTCAACAAGGTCTCCTCTAAAGTGTGTCTGTGTATTAACCAGAGATGAAACAAAAACAAAAATCAGTAAACTGTATTCACATTATTTCGAGAAAAAAAAACAAGTCTATCGAATAAATAAATAAATTAAAAACTATGAGACGGCTGAATTCAACCAGGGGTGAATCAAAGGGGGGTTGCGTCTGCTCATGCAATACAGCATCAGGAGGGGGTCGCTAGTTGGTGATTCTGATTATTGTTTCCGATGTTTTGTTTGTTTGATCTATCATTGGCTGGCTTCGTAATTTTGCGTTCGCGTAAAACAATACTTATTGAGAGCTAATAGACTTTGTTTTATACCGACGTTTGTTCAGTTTCACTGTTTTTTTTTTTGTGAGATTATCTTTTCTTATATGCTTTGGTTTACTCTACTTCAAACATTAAAGATGCTCAATATGGGGAGAACCTGGATTAGGCGTGTATGCAAGCGTACATTTCAAACATCATGGGTATCATGGATATCAGGGGTGCAGTTAAAGAAGGGGGCACAAGTAGAAAATCGATTGCAACAGACGGTGCTAGGAAAGTGGAAAATGCTTCTAGGAGGGACCTAACATTTGATCTACTTTTTGTAAGTTTTCCGGTTACTCGACCTCAACTCTATTCTACACGCCAGCGTTTTTAAATTTATTGCTAAATTTCACAATTAAATCTAACACACGGCAATGATTTCTCTATTATCCACCAACTTTCACTCCTTAGAGCCTATGCAGGTATGCTTTCAGTAGTGTATATTTTGGCTAGTTCAACAGAGAGTCTCTAGATTTGGTTGATTTTGTGTGTGGGTGTGTCTGATATGATGAGCCGGTTGAATGTACGATGATATTTAAGTTACGACGACGACGAAAATGTCCACTAGTGGATGAGATGAAAGTGATCCTTCTATAATAAATAGACATGCAATAATCCAACATTCTCACTTAAGCGGAATATACAATCCCCGAACTAATCTTTAATGTTCGTTCAGTTTGTCCTGGCTGCGAGCACCACGAAGTCTGGACGACTTTCGATTGATGGGCTCTAGGTATGCTGCCGGGGCCCATCCTTCTAGACTATTTCCTAAAATAATTTCGAAACAGAACGTGAAGAATATTATTCCGAAATAAGCTTCACATTCAAACCTACCGATAACTTTCACAAACCACCACCCGGCGCATCCGATCTTGAGCAGTTCCACAATATCACCTTCCTTCATCGATACCTCCGAGTTTCCCATTGCGCAATAGTCCGCCAGCGATACGAATTTATGACCCTACAAGTGAAACACAAATGATCATCCTCGAGGGGGGTTCACACAGTTCAGTTCGCCCGCTTACCGGCAGCACGCCATCCTCGCCGTGCGTGAACTCGTCCTCACTGTTGGAGTAGTCCGAGCTCCAGGCGTTCGTTTCCTGATTGTCGTGTTCGGACGAGGACGAGGAAATGCCCGTCGCGCTCATCATGCTGTCCTCGTTCAGGTGCGGTATGCGGGTGATGACGTCCTGCTGGTGCCCAATCGGATGGTGCTGAATGTTGGTGAGGCCCCCAGGGGGCATTGGTTGCTGCTGGTCGCAGCTAAGCGTCCGATTTGGTGTTCCGTGCATCGACGGCGGTATGTCCCAGGAAGCCGTGTGCCGCAGGGGTCTGTTGAGATACAGATGAAGGATTTAGTCGTGTGGTGCGATATAAAAGTTATAACATCACATTGAAGAATCACTTTGGAAAAATTCCAAATCCTTCTTGAATTTCAGTAAAACTATTTCACATTTATTGCGGAGAACAAACTTGGAATCACAATCGAAATATATTTGTACAGTGGGTAAAAGCTGCCCCAGATGTGCACTTATTTCGTGCCGCTGGTTTCAAGGGGTGTGAGATACCCCCCAAGTAACAATTCAAGCTGAACAGTAAGAACAGAAGCTGGTTATTGGATGATACAAAGCTGATTAACAGCAGGTTGAATATATAGTTGATTAGTAGTGGATGAAGCTTATTGTATCGCCATAATTCAACCTCAATAAGTTAACTGATCTAAAGATTGAACAAGCCTTATTTTAGCTTAACGCTACTCCACAAATAGGCAATGATGCACTACAAATATTTTGATAGCCTAATTCAAGACCAACAATTGAAATGGCCGTAACTCCATTTTGTAAACAAACCTTGTAAGGCCATTTTCTCGCGAACCGAAGTCCGCAAAGGCAAACCAACATAATGAACAAGTAGGGGAAATTCTCCTCTACCCGATTGTGGTTTAGGTTTGCGAATGAAGGTTTTGGTTTGCGAGAAAATGGCCTTACAAGGTTTGTTTACAAAATGGAGTTAAGGCCATTTCAATTGTTGGTCTTGAATTGGTTAAATGTAGTATTGGTCACTCGTTGTATTTTCGGCATTTTAGTTCTTCTAAATTCACTGCCCACCTTCCTAATCCCAAGAAGCGGCAGTAGTAGAGACAAGGTAGAGGAGCTTTTTAGGAATAGCTCCTGGTAGAAGTGGGCTGTGACGACGTAGGAAGTATTAACATCTGTGTTTTGTCCAGTTTTGTCTGTTATAAAGCTCGATTCAAAGTAAATCTGGACGCACGGTTTAATACACCACCGCGCCCCTGGTGGTTGGAACAAAAAACGTTTGACAGGCATTTGTTGATGTTTCATTGACGAAGAAATTGGTGAAAAGTTTTTCTCGATTGATCGACGCATCCCGAAATTACGCATCATGGAACTTGAGAAAAGAAAATTAATTGTGCACAAACATCTAGAGAACCCTTCGTGGTCTGCCTCAAAAATAGCAAAAGTGTTAAAATTCCCAAAGTCAATGACAATGATACTCTGAGTGTGCATAGAGCATCTATCATAAAAGTGGCACTAGGGACAAAGAGCTGAGGAGAGAGGTGTTGAAGTACGTGAAAAGTAACCCAGGTGTCTCCATACGTGATTTGGCAAAGAAATACAATTCCAACTTTTCCACCGTGCGTAACATCCTTTCAAGAGAAGGATATAAGTCTTTTTGTTGCAGTTAACATCCGAATCGCTCCCTGAAACAAAATTTAGTGGCCAAAAAGCGAGCACGATTACTATACGAACGAGTTTTGACGAAACTTGATGGCTGTATTTTAATGGATGACGAAACATATGTCAAAATGGATTATAAACAAATTCCTGGACGAAAATTTTACCTGTCAACTGGTCGTGGGGATGTCCCTTACAGGTATAAATTTGTTTTTGCTGATAAGTTTGCTCAGAAACTAATGATTTGGCAAGGAATCTGCAGTTATGGCCTAAAAACCAAGGTTTTCATCACATCTCACACAATGACGTCGAAGGTTTTACATTAAAGAGTGTCTGAAAAAGCGGATTTTACCCTTCATTCGGCAACAGAAGACCAACGTTATGTTTTGGCCGGATCTAGCCAGCTGCCACCACTCTAAGGAGGTACTAGAATGGTATGCTGCAAACAATGTTAATTTCGTCGCCAAAGAGATTAATCCTCCGAATTGCCCTGAGTTCAGACCGATCGAAAAATATTGGGCAATTGTCAAGCGAAAACTTCGAGGATGCGGTAAAGAAGTGACAAATGCACAACAAATGCGTTTAAAGTGGAATAAGTTCGCCGGTACAGTGTCACCAGCGACTGTGCAGATCATGATGGCATCGATCACAAGTAAAGTGCGACAGTTCGTTCGAAACGTCGAAATGTAATAATTTGTTATATATCGTTTATGTTATGTTGTTTAATTCTTGAGTTATGATCACTTGAATGCGTCCAAATTTACTTTGAATCGGGCTTTATTGCACTGAAGCACAGACAAACAGACATAACACTCACAATCACATTCATCGGAAATAATGTTTTAGTTGGGAATGTGTTTGCATTTGTCATGGTGGCGCCACTGAAGCATTGAGCAAGCCACCAGATTTCGAACTTATCAGTGATGCCAGTTCTTTTTCACATCTAGATAGTAGATGTCAGCTCTTGACAATGATAAGTGGTAAGGCATCCCACTGGAGACACATACCACATCTGACGAATACAGAAAAAAAAGTTGTTGAATATTACATTGAAAGTGCTGCACATTAGTCATTCCGTTCCTAATATTACGCTGCACGATTAACACAGAATTCAAGAACAAACTATGTTGTAGACTGTAATATTCTATCAACTTTTACCCCTTTTACCAGTTATTGATGTTCAATACTTCACCATGAATTTCATTGATTGATACATATTATATTTTTTTTTGCTGCACACACATTAAAGTTATGATCGGTGGTAGAAAGGGCACTAATTAGTGATGCATTACCTCGTTTAAAAACTTGCTTCCAGCAAAAGAAAAAGCACACTAAACAAACAAATCAAATCCCTAAAAAAAGTCTTAGCTTCTGTGATTTTTTCCTACGGATCCGTATTTCTGCTATCAATTCTATAGATCTACGGAAAATTTAGTAGAACCAACATCACTGACTTCCATCTGTTTTGTTTTTATTCAACATAGCTGACGCGTTGACAGAACGAGGGAAAAGCAACTGGTGAAAAAATGGCATGAACGAGGGATGCTCTAGTTGCACATCAATGCTTGGGAATGTGGATGATAGATGGTGCTAATACGCTTGACGATATTTTTTGCAAGAATTTTCTTCTAAGAGTTATGTCTGTTTGTCTATGACTGAAGTTTCAGACCACATTCCAAAAATATAACTCAATTATGCACTTAAATAGCTTCCACATGACCATCGAAATAAATCGCGCACTTGTGTCTACATTGTGTTAGCTACACTTGAAAATGAGAGGAATGTTTAACCTCTATGGTTTTACTGTCACCAATTGTTGTTTACAATTCTGCATTGCTGTATAATACTCTTCCGGTTGCTGTTATTCAACTTAAATTTGACGTGTTTCAAGTTAAGGTATTATTGCCACACATATGCTTAAGTGGTCTGCCTGTTCGAATCCCGAAATGCAAAGGTAATTTTTAGACTTATAATAACAATATAAGTATGTAAATCCAATTAATCAGCACCTTATTGCAGTCCCATAAAAATATATATAAGATATGAAGCGGTCTTCCATTATTATGTTTTTTTTTAAATAAAACTAGAAGGCTGAACAAGGGTTGGAAAAGACTGTTATTGAATGCCTTAACAAGCTTATAATTTATATAACTGTTAAGCTTTCGGCTGATTATAATCACCAGATTTAGATGTTTAAAAGCTGAACAAAGGTTAACGTGGTCTATGTACAACAATTCTAGATAGAGCTGGAATTAGGGCGTAACAGCTTTTGTAAACAATGACTTCTCTCGACGATTTCTCGGAAGTCATGGCTCTCCCTGGCAAATTGACATCACCATCGAGTAGAGGAAGACTTCTCCTACCCGATGGATATGTTGGTTTGTGTAGGCGTGCCTTGAATTCCGAGAAATCAACAAGAGAATTCATTGTTTACAAAGGCTGTTACACCCTAATTCCAGCTCTATCTAGAATTATTCAAACTCAGGCTGAACTAAAATCGATTAAACAACACTTGTTAAGCATATAATTGGTACCTGCTGTTCTTATGTACAACAATCCGAGGAATCGAATGCCTCTGGATTTATCTTGCGCAGACTATTGGAAGTGCCTCATTTTGACCGTTTCAGTTGAAATTAGAAGCTATTTGGCTTTATATGCGACTGTCGGTTATCGACAGCCATAAAATGCAGTGGTAGAAACCCAAGGAAATAAATTAAATCTAATCTCATACTGTGCAGACTAAAGAGAGAGCCTATTTTTCTCCATTTTCCTGGTAAACTCTTTATTTAAGGGTAATTATTAACAGATTTACAAACTGCCACTAGATTTCAGATATAGAACACATAATTTCTTATGTAAAAAGCATTGAAGTCTTGATAAAATTTCCAGACGACTTTATGCAGTTCTTAAAACACATGAAAGACTTTGGAATAATTTCGAAGCTGCCGTGTTCCATATGAGAGAAAATCTGACAGATGCGATATGCATAATGGAATACTTGGATATCTTTAGAATGATACCTGATTAATATGAAGTCCCTAAAAAACCTCCTGAGGTTTTCCGAGATCTCTTATCACTTGGAGTTATTTCAAATTATTACTGAGCAACCTGGAATCTTTGAGAATATCTTGGAGATGTACTTTGAATTGTTGAGCAACTGAAGATTTTCAGAATGATACCCGATCAAGCTGAAGTCTAAAACAAATATCTCGAGGATATTTTGGAAATCTATGCTTACCTGAAGGTCTTTTGAATAATTTCTGAGCAACCTGGTACCTTGAGTGGATATCTGGGACATATGATTTGAATTGATGCGCAGTTTAAGCAACCGGTTCGCACTCGTGTTTATTTCAGTTACCATGGGGACGTAATTTGTGATTAGCCCCGGTCCCTTTCAAATTGTATCATTATTTATGTACGGCCTTAAATTTGAAATGACGTTTCACACATCTAGTGATGGCCGATTTTCATTCGAATAATCGATTGACGAACCGAAAAGTAAAATACTTGTAACCGGTTATATCATGCTGATATAAGCATTAACTGCTCCAGAGGATCATCACCCATCGTTTTAAACATATGCTGCACTCTCATTGGTGGAAAAATGACAGCACAGCGAACAAAAAAAAAAACGAT